GCAGGGCCAGGGGGTGAGGGCAGGGGTGCCCCTCTGCAGGGGTGGGGGGGGCTTTGTGGGAAAATGATGCAGGGCGCAGTGTGGTGGTGCCTGCCATGTGTGGGCCACACATGCCACCTGGCCGGCTGCCCAGGGGAGGGGGAGGTTGGCATGTGGCCGGAGCACAGCTCTGTGGCCAACTCAGCGAGGGATAGGGACGCGGGGGGTGGCTGGGGCTTGCATGCAGCGGCCACTGCACCTTGCTTGGAGGGCCGTGATGGCAGTGATGGCCGCTGCCTCCAAAACCTCACGGAGCTGCCACGGAGCTGTGCATGGAGCTGTGCAACCGGCCGCTGAGCAGCAGTGTGGTGGTGGCCAGGCGGCATGCAGCCATCCCCCCCCACCACCACCACCACCCCACACCGTGCCACTGCTGCTAGCTGCGCAGCTCCAAGCATGGCTCTGCGGTGGCAGCAGGAGGTTATGGAGGCAGCGGCAGTCACCGCTGGCATGGGCTGCCAGTGCCAGCGGCGATGGCCGCTGCGTACAAAAACTCCTGCTGCTGCTGGCCACACAGCTCTGAGCACAGCTCCGTGGCAGCAGCAGGAGGTTTTTTACGCAGCAGTTGTCACCGCTGGCACTGGCAGCCCCACAGGCAAGCGGTAGTGGCTTTCCATGCCAGTGGTAATGGCGGCTGCCTCAACTTCCTGCTGCTGCCGTGGAGCCGTACTCAGAGCTGCGTGGCTGGTGGCAGTGGTGCAGTGGTGGGGCTGGAAATGGCTGCATGCTGCCCGACCACCACCACCCTGCACAGCGCCACTGCCACCAACCCCACAGCTCCAGGCACAGCTCGATGGTGGCAGTGGGAGGTTTTGGAGGCAGCGGTCATCACGGCTCTCCAAGTAAGTGGCAGCGGCCGTTGCATGCAAGCCCAAGCTCGAACCCCACCCCGCACCCCCATCCCTCTCCATGGCTGCAGCATCGGCCGCAGAGCTATGCTCCAGCTGCATGCCAGCCTCCCTCTCCCCCTCCCCCGGGCAGGAGGCCGGGTGGCATGTGTGTGTGGCCTGTGCGTGGTGGGCACCACCACACTGCCTCCCATATCACTTGCCCGCAAAGCCCCCTGCAGGGAGGCACCCCTGCCCTCACTCCCTGGCCTTGTTCCCAGCTGTTGTGCGCCGCCTGGGCCTGCTCCCTCAGCCCTTAAACATTTTCCCCAGCCCTGCCCCACTTACCTCTAGGATCCAGGGGCGAAGGGCATGGCTCTGCGGTGACAGCACTTGTCCACAAAGCTCTCCCATCCTTCATGCAGCTATCGCCACCCCACCCCACCCCACCGCGGAGCTGTGCAGTTGGTTGTGGGGCATGTCACTGCATGCAGGCCCCCTGTTTCACCCCCCTGGCCAGGCAGCACATACGTGGCCTGTACATAGCGGTTGCCACCACACTGCTGCTGCCGCGCCCTGCGCCACTTGCCCACAAAGTCATGCATGTGGCTGTGGGATGGTAGCACAGGGTGCAGTGGCAGAGTTGCAGTGGTGGCCTCAGTGTGCGAATCTCCTGTCAGGCTGACCAGCATGTGTGTGGCCCACAAAGTGGCAGCCCTGCCCTTACCCCTGGCCCTGCTCCTTGATCTACCCCCACAGCACCTTCCCCTTTCCCCACCCTGCCCCGCTCCTTCTCCCCACAGACTTTACCTGCTGGGTAAAGTGCCAGTGTCTGTGGGTCCGGTCTGGGGGGCTGTTGCAAGGGGCATCAGGAGGGCTGTTGAGATTGTGGGGGGGGTGAGAGGCACCAGCAGCACTGGGAGGGGCTTTGGGGGGGCCTTTAATTTTTATCACGATTTTGGGTTTTTAACCAGAGAATTTGCAATTTTTAATCAGAGAAAACCAGAATCCCTGGTTATCACCTCTGCTAAAGGTGGTCCCTTCAGATTGTGGCTGATCTGTAGTGATATGAGTGTGAAGATGCTTGCACTGTCTTTGTTCTGTGTTATGTCTGCTCACCTTTTAGGAGCTGAAACACTAAATTTACCTAAATGAAAAAGGGTTTTGGAGGCATTATCCTAAAATAAGTTACCATTTTTGTTTTAAGGTTAAATTTTTAAGGCGTAGTTTATCCTTTAAAAGAAATGCAGTCATCACTCCATCTACATATTTTTATCTTTACTTCATAAAATAAGAATGACATATTTGGAGAAGTGACAACAAAGAAGAAACTTGAATTATCTCAGTAGTAGTTACAGAAAACTGAGTAATAACCTCTTCTGAAAGGATACTGGAAAGTTCACAAGCTGCTGGTTCGCTGAATGTTTCTCTTTTTGGTCAACAGGTTCCAAAGAAGTGCTCTGAGATAGCTGTACTGCTGCAAAAATCAGAACACCCCAGCACCAATTTGACAATGCTAACATCAGAAGAGATTCAGTTAGGAATTCAGCGCCAGAAAGAAAAGAATGCTGAGGCTTTGCAGTAAGCTAGTCTTTGGTTAACTATACACAGTTGTAATGTTATAGTAGCTTTTAGATGATTAATTAATTAAGTTGATAGCTGATATCTAATTGATCTAGATTAGTATAATGAATGTTACTTCTGTGAAGGAAAAATTGCTATTTTTTCTAAGTTTTGAGACCCGTTTGTGAGATTTGTGTAGAGCAGTGGAGATCAACCTTTTGGACTAGTGGACGTAAGTGCTTGTGAGCCCGCTGTACCATGGGCCAACACCCCTTTCCGGTAGGGAGGAGAACGAAGGTGTAGGGAGGTTGGTGCTAGTGCTGGAGGGAGAGAGGGGAAAAGTGGTAGGATGCAGAGCAGGGAAGGGGATGCACTGGGGCAGGCTACTTGCCACTGATTCTAAAAAATAATCCTTTTTTCCAAACCTGATTTTTTTTTTTTTTTTTTTTTTTTTTTTTTTTTTTTTTTTTTTTTTTTTTTTTTTTTTTT